GAACCAAACTTAGCTTGCGATCCAACCAGCCCTGCATGCATTTAAAATTTCCCTAAACATTAAACTTTTAGAATATTGGCCCAATTTCAATTTTCAAAACTCTCCATATCATGTTAGGAAAGCATCAAAGGATATCTAACTGCTATATATATAAAAAAAATCTATTTCGTATATATCTAATTAAATGTACTTGGTATTTACCTTAGTACTGCTAGGGAATTCAACTCTCCTTTATTCGAATTGGAAAAACAGTAGTTCTTGTTTGTTTCTATATGCTCCTAAGATATACTAAATGAACCTGAAAATATCTTCTACTTCTTGATATTCAGATTAGCAAGCTTTAACATATTAGTAAAGGAAGCAATCGACTCCTTTTAATGAAGTTTTGAATCTTTGCTTCCATACTGAGGGAGTGATAGAAAATGCATATGCATGTGTACTGACACAAATGCAAGTGCAAGTTAATGACTTTTTCTGGATAAGTTTATATATGTATTTATAGAAATATTTTAGATTGGCAATGTCCAAGGGTCATGCTATATTTCTATTCAGAGAATTAGTCATACTGTATATCCCTACACTTAGGAGAAAAATATCTGATAAACCTTTCCCTCTATTCCAAAATAACGGCCCATGTCACTTATTTGGGGTGTCCCAAATTAATTGTCTAGATATTTAGTTTAGTAAATCAATAAGTCTAAAGGTTATTTTTGTGAATAATACCCTTCAAATAGTTTACCTTGATTTCTGTACATCTATACACTAAAGGATAAAGTTAGTAAACTAACAAAACATAATTCATTCAAAAGAATTTTCCTAATCTCCGTATTAAAGTCAAACTAGATTATAATTTTGGGAGTGAAGAATTATATTCTATGAAAAAACCAAGGTGGAGTTATTGAACTGTAAAATATTTGCTTGAATCTGATGTTTATCAGCAATAACTACTTAATTGGTAGGTTGATAAAGCATTTACATAGATCGGTTTTCCTTGCTTGTACTTATTGAGACATTTGTTCTTATATTTGGATTGCCTCCTAACAAATAGCATGTATGAGATCAGTTAGCATGATATTTGATACGTGGTGGAGTTACACTTCCTTAATGCTTTTCAGATACCAGCATTTGGAGCATACAAATCTTTTGGATTCATTAGAGGATTTTTATCACAAAGCTCTGAGGTACATTTTCTTCTCCAGTTCTAATCATTTTCAAAGGTATTAAAGGCATTTTCGTAAGATCTATTATCCTCTGTTAACTAGGGAGATATGGAGGACGAAAAGACTCGCAAAAAGAGGGAGAAACTGGAGAAGAAAGCTTCACGAGCCAAGTTTGTGAAGACAAGAAATAGATAAGTCATTGTATTGAAATGAGTATACCACCCCTTAGGAGTAGTTACTTTTTAAATGACACAATTTCCTTGCCAACTTTTGATAAGTACAAGTAGAAGTTTAAAAAAAAAAAAGGAGGTATTGATCAAGGAAAACTCTGCAATGCATAATTTTTCAGTTTTGTGCCACTGATGGTTGTTGTTGTAATACCATGACTACTAGAAGCTAGAGCAAGAGCTATTACCAAGCAATGATTTGCGAACGTCACAAATAATAGAACAAAGGACTTGCAAACCAATGTATGCATTTATGTTCTATGTATGATTTGTGAAGCCTGTGATGAAAGATTCAGTCAACTAGGAGTTCACAATCAATCCTCTGGAAGAATAACTCATGTTTATCAAGATCATAACCCATATTATGGTATTGCTGAGCCATTAACCCAACTACAGAAAAATCTGTAAAATTATTGCTGTTGGTGCTGGCTTGTCTCATGGCCATGCAAAGTACATATGGTGTGGCTTGATAGAACATGCTTTCACTGTCCAACTCTAAATCTGCTCCTCCTGCGAAGTGAAATGTCACTAAAGTAAACCCAGTAAGGTCCTGGTCCACTCTTCCCTTGTAACAGAGAAATGACTCTCGCCAAAATGGTATAAGGACTCTATCCAAGAGAGACTGAACTTCATCACCAAGCGCTCTATATAAATTTTTGGCCAACCAGGTTAGTGCAGTTCCAGAATCAATTATTACAGCTTGTCCTTTCCTTTTACTTCTAATTGCA